CTCTGTACATACACGTCCAAATAATACTTTTGACATGGACATCATCACATTCCAGCATATAAACTTTCTTTATAATTCAGTAAACTGATTCTAGGTTTCAGTGATATCAGATAACTCATACAAAAATTTAGTACATACAAGAACACATCCTCACATACAATGCATTCATGACAGAATTAGAGAAAGTATGTAGGACTCATACCTTGCAAGTCCTTCATTCCTATACAATCAGGGTTTAGATTTTTGTGATTTTTTGCTGTCCCCGCAATCTTACTACCTGAATTTTTGTCGGAGCTAGTGTCACTTTTACTATCTGTGGCCACAATTCTTTGTTCTCCCGTCACTGCCACTGTCTGAGTCACCATCACTACGCGTCTCACAAGGCACCTAAGCTAGTTCATCATAGAAGAATTTGTCTTTGACCCATACCCCACCACTAACTACTGGCTGGTACAAACAAATTGAAGACAGGGTTAAGAAAACAGCTAGGTCATGTCACTGAATACTAATGAAACATTCTGGTGTTTTATTACACAGCTCTTCATCTAAGTACAGGGTGAATTGCAGTTTGTAGTTGTTGCTGTAGGGTGTCTGTGGTGTGTAGCCCGTTCCTCTCCGCTGAGTCCTGCCTTGGCTTAGACCTCGCGCCCAGCGTTGCTGTGCCAACTGTAACCGCTCACTTTGTTGTTCTGTGTTGCCCCTATTTTCGGCACTACTTGTGACTGCCTTTTGCCCAACTTTTGGTCCTATCCAGTGATAGGAGCAGAAGATCGGTGGGAATCTGGGATGAGACAGGAGGGATCGGTATAAGTTTAACACATGTAGAATGCAGCCAACAATGTGTTCATGTATATGGTGTCAGCCTCTCCAACCGATATGAATGGACCATCCTACAAACCCAGAAATTTGTTCTGACACTAAATGTAAAAGGCTAAATATTTAATTGTGGTGCACAAAGTTGAACATTTGTTTTATTTACATAATATTAGCAATCAAAATTACGTTTTATTCTCTAAGCTAATTTGCTGTAGTATTCTTCGTGATGTGGAGAGGGCTTATCCAGAGATAAATCCTCATTAACCCTCTCAGGTTGGCTGACCAATTCGTTTTTAGTCTTCCTCCATTGTGTGGTTCCAGTAACGGTTGCAATACTATGTTCTCATGTCCTATTTTGTTGAGGTATCTTGTGCTTTTCCCCTTTATGACTTACTTCACTAGCGACATTTTCAGGTTTTCATGGAGTGTTCTATTGGAAACATACCATGGCGTAAATAAAAGTAATACCTGTAACTTTCCTTCACCCTTTCCAAATTGCCACAGGATCAGAAGATCAGTGGCAATCTGGGATGAGATAGGTGGGAATGGAATGGGTTCAAAACATCTATAATGAAGCCAACAAACTGTGTTCATGTAGTGCACAAAGTTGAACATTTTTTTATTTAAATATTACTAACAATCAGAATTACATTTGATTCTATAAGCTAATTTGCTGCAGTATTCTTTGTGATGTGGAGAGGGCTTATCCAGAGATAAGTCCTCATTAACCCTCTCTCAGGTTGGCTGGCCAATTCCTTTTTAGTCTTCCATTGTGCTGTTCCAGTAATGGTTGCATTAGTACGTTCTCATGTCCTATTTTGTTGAGGTATCTTGTGCTTTTCCCTTTTATGACTTCCTTCCCTAGCGGCACTTTCAGGTCTTCATGAAGTGTTATACTGGAAACATACAATGGGGTGTTAGTCATTATATGTAGTATCTTTGACATCTTTGGATTATGGAAATATTGGTTTTATTATTGTTTTGTAAAGTAAAATTTTGTTGAAGAAAGCAGTCTTCTGGGATTTGGGACCGTGTATATGTGGTGTTAACCGACGTTTCGGAGGAACGTATCGCCCCCATCTTCAGGGTTGAAGAAAAAGTATAAGTAAATCTGCAAGCGACAACACCGTGAGACACGGTAAAGCAGACATCTTTTAGTAAAAATTCGAGGGCGTAGAGATGAGGTATCTACCTGCAAGGACCTGACATACGATTTATATGCATGATATGACATGCGGACACACCCCCGACACATCTCAGGTTGATTTTTCGGTGCATCACGGGCTACTGATGGCAGACACTTAGGAGGGCATGTTTTATTGGATGGTCAATTCCAACGCGCCTTGCGGCTCGACCGTGCGTCGTTTTTTTTAACGTGGTATCCCCAGTAGGCCTAGTCCACGATGGGAAGGATAGGACGTTTACAATAGAGTTGGAGTTGCGATGTAGGAGAGGGTTACACGTGGAGCGTCTTCTGAAGACGTGACCTTTGCCTTTGGGTAAGGCGTGATGTATTTATAGAACGATTGTTCAGTTGCTGACGATGGCATCATGTGCAAAGTATATGGAATCGTGTAATCCCATCTCGTTCTGTAGATAAATTTCATGTTCCCGTTTTCACTGAGGATGTGAGGAGAGTCTAGGACGATGAGAGGCATTGGTTGTGGCTTCCATTGGATGTGCATAGACGTGAAACCAGATTTGCTTGCTGCGATGAGGGGGATGTCGTTGGATTGAAAGGAGTTTGTGTGTTGGCGAGCGGGGAACATTTTATCTGCGTGTGTTCCTGATTTGTCGATGTGAATGAGTTCCCATACATAGGAAGATGGCAGTTTCTCGGGTGTGAATGAGAATGTCTTTGTGTGTCCCGTAGCGAGTTCCTCTGTTTTGCAGAAGTATGTTCCAGCCTGTAGATCCGCTGTTCGAAACTTTGCGCCTGGCGGCATGAAATCATCTGGCCACAAGATGGATGGTGTGTGGGAGTTGTTGATGTCAGTTAATATCATTAGGTTTTGCGATGTCTCGAAGTCGATGGTTTCATATGTAGTTGAACCTTGTGTGAGTAGTCGTTTTCTTGTTGTGGCTTGGTTGTAGATAGAAAGGTTGAACTCGTGCCAGGTGATGCCATATGCAGCATTAGATAAGATGTTGAAAGTTTTCATAGTGTTGTTTTCTTGTTCATCCAATCCTATCCAGAACTGAAGTAAATGATATGGTATCGCCATCGAACAAGGACCGGCCTCGCAGAAGGAGAGATTTATCCACATTGATCGTTTTATTTCCCCGTGAACGTGGGTAGTTTTGTATGGAATTGGAATTGATGATGATGTGGGATGCATGTGTTTTCCATATCCATCTTGTTCGACCTGATGTGTAGTTTGACCGTGGGCAACAGTTGGAGATGGTTTTTGTCGTTTGGCCGGTCTATCATCTTGAGGTTCATACATCTTCGATTTCTCCGGCTCTTGAAATAGTGTCGGATGAATCCTGTAAGAGCAATTGAATCTGCAGTTGTTGTAGTTTGTCGATGTGGGTGTTAGAATAAGGTTTTGATGTTTCAGAGATGGGAAGGGATGCTAGGAGAGAGATGTATTCATCGTGAATGGATTGGAGATGATGAAGGAAAAGGGCGTACAAGTCGTGCTTGGTTATGATGGATGGTGGTTGTGGGATGATTCCTGTTCTGTCTACAAAGCTGGAGATCTGTGTTGTGAGATCGAATTGGAAGAGGCGTTGTTTGAGGGGTGATACATCTTCAGCCGAGACCCAATTCCAGATCGGTTGGTTAGTCGAGATGAATACCGGAAGTCTGTTGATAATCTCCTTATCGGAGTGTTTCATGTCCGTGGGTATTGGAGATCCCTCGAGGAGAAGCTTCCATGTGCCGATGGTCGTCTGATCAATGATGGGCTCTTCGAAGAGGACGGCCGTGCTGTTTGGAAGCTGGTCGAGGTGGAAGTTCGACTTGTCTCGTTCGCGGGCGATTGTGGTAGGTTTTGTATCGGAGAGCACGAGGTTTAAGAGAAGAGATTTCCCCGTGTTTGTTTGACCATGGATAACTAGGGTGTTGATTTTTGTTATGTTTGTGGAGTGTATGATGAGGAACTTGGCGAAGAAAGTGTCCACTGAGATGGAATTAGATGAGAAGAGACGGGATAACAAAGAGACGTTAGGTTGCTGGACCAGCGATAGATCGAAGGAGTCGATGATTAGTTGATAGTAGTGTTTTGTTTTTATGGTTTGAAGGGCCTCGATGGTATGAATTTTGATCAATGTCTTGATGATATTCTGGCCGACATAACCAAGTTGTTTCAGAAGTTGTATCTTGGTTTCTGTCGGTAGGATGCGCTGGAAGGATTCATAGGATGTGATTTTGTTTTCCGTGATGAGGGAACTGATGTAATCGATGGAAAATGTTCGTTGGGTTACTGATTCTTTGGATGCCTGCTTTTTTTGTTCAATGTATTGGTCGCAGGCCAAAGGAGATGTGGATGGAGCATCTGTGAGGTCATATTTCATGAGTGCGTCTGTGAGGGGTTTGAGGGTTGGGATAATTCGACATCCATATTTATAGAATGTTCCGAGACCCTTACGTATGAGATACGATATGAATCTGGTGAAGAAGCGGACGAGTTGTAGCGTCGAATGAGATTCTGTAATTCCTTCAAAGTTGACGTGAAGGAATTTAAGGATTGTGGAGAGGTGCCTGGAGGAGTTGTTGGAATGATTGACGCAGAAGATGACGTGGATGTGGTCTCCGTGATCGAAGACCGCGAAGGATGGGGCGCGTCTTGTTGTTTGTGGAGGATGAAGGTGTAGGTTGATGAATTTGTGGGATAGCTTCCTTCCGTATTGTCTGGTCCAGAGAGTGAGGAAGAATCGGAGGTCGATGGTGTTGGAATAGGAGATGGAGGGTTAGGTCGTCGAAGATGGTTATCGGCGGTTGAACGTCTTTCTTTAGGTGTTCCTTTTGCTCTCTTGATAGGAGGACATCTGCTTTACCGTGTCTCACGGTGTTGTCGCTTGCAGATTTACTTATAATTTTTCTTCAACCCTGAAGATGGGGGCGATACGTTCCTCCGAAACGTCGGTTAACACCACATATACACGGTGCCAAATCCCAGAAGACTGCTTTCTTCATAGTCACCGCCGTGAAAGCCTCAAATCTAAAATTTTGTTGTCTAATGAGAGTTTGGAATTTCTTCCAATTAACCAATGCATATCCTTGATTTTTAAATCAATCTGTTTGCGTTTTTTATTAATGTGTTCCTTCCACGTTACATGGTTGTCTAAATGAATACCTAAGCATTTTGTGCTGGGTGATTCAAGTATTTGTATGTTATTAAAGAAAACTGCATGAAGCTGCTTTATAACACAAACAACACATTTGAAATGTACATGCAAATTCCTGCTATACCTAACTTTGCATTCAGTAATGTCATAGATGCAATGTCAATTCAAGAACCTGGTCCAAAAATGCATCTGTAAGCTCTTCCTGCAGCTCAACATCACACACCGGCAACAAATGACCGTAGAAGTCCATGAACTCAATACCAACCTATGAGAAAAAATTGACCTGTTTAAAACATAACAGCTTTCAAAAGTTCTACTTATTATACCCCATTAGCAGTTATTTGATAATACAATTAGCGCAAAATACATAACAAGGAACATAAATGATTCCAACATATGATTCAAAACAAAATGGTAAAAAGAAATTAATTCATTTCTAGTGTAATTTGAATTTAAAGTTTTAAGCAATTTAACACAATACCTCTAAGAATAATCTCTTTGTATATAAATCTCTCTTTATTTGTACCAACGTTTCCACAGGATGGTCACATGCTTCTCTGATCACCTCCAGTTCCTCTCGATGGCTTCCATCATGCCTGGACTTCACACTGCAAATATAAATCTCAATATAATAAAACATAAAATAGCAAGAATGTTATAGGTGCCAGTAGAAGTTACAACTGGCAAACTGAAACCCTGAAAAGAATGGGAAAAACTTATCCCCACAGAGGCATAAAAAACAGGTTTCACTTAATGGGAAGTCTGTGCAATACAACTTTTTGTTTCACTTCACGGTTCATATAAAAATTGAAACATCAGTTGAGAAATGGGTGATGATGACAATGACTCTGTAAATAAAAGGAATACCTGTACTCTGCCCTCAGCCTATCCATTGACTGGAGCAGAATATCATGGGAAATCTGTGAAGAGACATCAGGGAATGGAATGGGGTCTATATACCGGGTATGACACCATACGACTGTGTTTAGGTATATTGCCTCAGTCTCCCCAGGTGAGAGGAATGGACCATCCTAGAAATCGAGAAAAATGTTCTGACACTAAATGTAAGAGGCTAAATATTTAACTGTGGTGCACAAAGTTGAACATGAAGCAGCTTTATAACACAAACAACACATTTGAAATGTACATGCAAAGTCCTGCTATACCTCAACTTTGCATTCTGTAATGCCATAGATGCAATGTCAATTCAAGAACGTGGGATGCAAGATCTCTCTACTTACACGTCCAAATATTACTTTTGACATGGACATCATCACATTCCAGCATATAAACTTTCTTTATAATTCAGTAAACTGTTTCTAGGGTTGAATGATATCAGATAACTCCTACACAAATTCAATACATACAAGAACACATCCTCACATACAATGCATTCATGACAGAATTAGTGAAAGAATGTAGGACTCATGCCTTGCAATTCCTTCATTCCTATACAATGTTTAGTGGTCTTAGAGCAATGAAGATAAAAAGACCAGAAAGACACATAAAATGTAAGTTGTATTTGCTGCTCAACAAATTCTGTAATGTAATGGCCGCTGCTGGGAGCGTTGAGTGGAAGTACGGTGTAAGAAATATGGGAAATTTTAAGGAAAATGTTAATTCACCATGCTTGTGCTGTGTAAAACTAAAAGACGAATTGCAGAGGGTTGTAAGTGAATTGAAACAGGTGGTGGAAATAGTGAAAATTTTAAAAGAAGATCAAGAGCAATTATCCTGTAGGGTAGACAATATTGGTATACACCTGTTAAAAAGATAAATACAGTGACTAATGCAAGTAGCGATGCATCTCAGTCATCAGACTGGAAAACTGTTTCTCAGTATAAAAGACATTCAATGGTGGTAAATCATTTAGCAATTTTAGAGAACCTAAAGGAAGAAAACTTAGTACCTTATCATAACATGAAACGAAAACAAAAGGTTAAGCAATTACAGGTTCGATCTGCAACAAAAAAAGTTTTGATAATTGGTGATATCCATGAAAGAGGTTGTGCTGCAAATTTGTAACATGAGTGCGGCAAATCTTTGAGGTCATGGGCAATGTGATGCCTGGTGCTGGACTCCTAAACATAACACAAGCCAACAAGGAAATTAATGGATTAAATTGTAATAATTGTGTCGTCATCAGGGTTGTATTAAAATGATATTGTGACATGTTCACCCCTACCACCCCAGCTGCATGTAGCGGTAACATAGCGCTCACGTAATAGGCGACTCATCACCCCGCAACTCTCCCTGTGGTGACGTCACGAGCGGAGCCAAAGTTAGCCGAGTCCCCGCAACCTTGAAGCTATGCAAAGCGAGTCAACAGCGGTGTTAGGCTATACGCCACGCCACACCACACTAGCAACAGCGAACGGAATAAAAGCCGGCTGAGCTTGATCTATCTTTGGATAAAGAAAATTTTACCCATTATAGGATGCATTTGTTATATGAGCAGATCAGTATAAATGGTTAATATGTTTTTCATTTGCATTCAATTTTTTGTAATCACATTCATTATGCTCTATGTCTGTGTTATGTATATTTCATTTTATGTTACCTAGACTTATTCCATTGATTAATTGGAACATTTGTTCTGATATGTGACACATTCTATCTAGGTAAGTCAATAAGTAAGTTACAAATGGATATAGAACTTAAATAAGAGTACTGATNTGACACTAAATGTAAGAGGCTAAATATTTAACTGTGGTGCACAAAGTTGAACATGAAGCAGCTTTATAACACAAACAACACATTTGAAATGTACATGCAAAGTCCTGCTATACCTCAACTTTGCATTCTGTAATGCCATAGATGCAATGTCAATTCAAGAACGTGGGATGCAAGATCTCTCTACTTACACGTCCAAATATTACTTTTGACATGGACATCATCACATTCCAGCATATAAACTTTCTTTATAATTCAGTAAACTGTTTCTAGGGTTGAATGATATCAGATAACTCCTACACAAATTCAATACATACAAGAACACATCCTCACATACAATGCATTCATGACAGAATTAGAGAAAGAATGTAGGACTCATGCCTTGCAATTCCTTCATTCCTATACAATGTTTAGTGGTCTTAGAGCAATGAAGATAAAAAGACCAGAAAGACACATAAAATGTAAGTTGTATTTGCTGCTCAACAAATTCTGTAATGTAATGGCCGCTGCTGGGAGCGTTGAGTGGAAGTACGGTGTAAGAAATATGGGAAATTTTAAGGAAAATGTTAATTCACCTTGCTTGTGCTGTGTAAAACTAAAAGACGAATTGCAGAGGGTTGTAAGTGAATTGAAACAGGTGGTGGAAATAGTGAAAATTTTAAAAGAAGATCAAGAGCAATTATCCTGTAGGGTAGACAATATTGGTATACACCTGTTAAAAAAATAAATACAGTGACTAATGCAAGTAGCGATGCATCTCAGTCATCAGACTGGAAAACTGTTTCTCAGTATAAAAGACATTCAATGGTGGTAAATCATTTAGCAATTTTAGAGAACCTAAAGGAAGAAAACTTAGTACCTTATCATAACATGAAACGAAAACAAAAGGTTAAGCAATTACAGGTTCGATCTGCAACAAAAAAAGTTTTGATAATTGGTGATATCCATGAAAGAGGTTGTGCTGCAAATTTGTAACATGAGTGCGGCAAATCTTTGAGGTCATGGGCAATGTGATGCCTGGTGCTGGACTCCTGAACATAACACAAGCCAACAACAAGGAAATTAATGGATTAAATTGTAATAATTGTGTCGTCATCAGGGTTTGTATTAAAACTATATTGTGACATGTTCACCCCTACCACCCCAGCTGCATGTAGCGGTAACATAGCGCTCACGTAATAGGCGACTCATCACCCCGCAACTCTCCCTGTGGTGACGTCACGAGCGGAGCCAAAGTTAGCCGAGTCCCCGCAACCTTGAAGCTATGCAAAGCGAGTCAACAGCGGTGTTAGGCTATACGCCACGCCACACCACACTAGCAACAGCGAACGGAATAAAAGCCGGCTGAGCTTGATCTATCTTTGGATAAAGAAAATTTTACCCATTATAGGATGCATTTGTTATATGAGCAGATCAGTATAAATGGTTAATATGTTTTTCATTTGCATTCAATTTTTTGTAATCACATTCATTATGCTCTATGTCTGTGTTATGTATATTTCATTTTATGTTACCTAGACTTATTCCATTGATTAATTGGAACATTTGTTCTGATATGTGACACATTCTATCTAGGTAAGTCAATAAGTAAGTTACAAATGGATATAGAACTTAAATAAGAGTACTGATCTGAAAAATGCTTTTATTTCTCAGCATAATCTCCCTGTACATTGAGACACTTGTCCCATCGTTTCACAAGCCCCTGAAAACCAGCAGCATAAAATTCTTTGGGCTGCTGTCGAAACTAGGCGGTGACTTCCCTTACTACAGCTTCGTCTGGAAAATGTTCAGGAAAAGATGATGTTTAAGAGGGTCAAACAAATGGAAGTCGCTTGGAGCAAAGTCAGGGCTATATGGAGGGTGCTCAAGGACTTCCCACTTGAAATTTCACAGCGTCTCATTTGTCTTGTTGGCAGTAAGGGGACACATGTTGTCATGCAAGAGCAACATGCCTTTGGTGAGGAGTCCTGGTCGCTTCCGTTGAATGGCCTTATGAAGTTTCCTGAGGATATTACAGTAGGAGTCAGCATTTACGGTTTGTTCTCGAGGCTGGAATGCAGTCATCAGTTTCATGATCTCAGAAGACTGTGAGCAACACTTTCTTGGAGGATGGTGGCGCATTAAAACTTTTTTTTTGGCAGGCGATGCAGGATGTTTCCACTGCACTGACGAACGATTTGTCTTGGGCTGGTAATGGTGAACCCAAGACTCATCACCTGTGACATTTCATAGCATATCGTGTCCTTTATCGTGGTAGCGACTGAGATGCTGTAATGCCAGACCCATTCTTTGCATTTTGTGTTGTGGGGTCAGCATGCGCGGCACCCATCATGCAGACTTTGTGAAAATCTAACCTGTCATGCATTATGAGGTAGGCCTTGCCATGTGAACATGCCTGGTTCCGACATTAGCCCGAAGAATTTTATGCCGCTGGTTTTCAGGGGATTGTGAAACGATGGGACAAGTGCCTCAATGTACAGGGACATTATGTTGAGAAATAAAAGCATTTTTCAGATCAGTACTCTTATTTGTTTAAGTTCTACTACATGCATTTGTAACTTACTTATTGACTT